GAATATAATCAATCTGATTTCGATGCTGCCCATCTGGTGATGTCCATGTGTAGAGTCGTCTCTTGTGTTGTTGGAAAAGAGTGTGATGACCAGCTTGTTCTCTTGACAGAACTCTATTAGCCTTTGCCCTGCTTCGTTTTGAACTCCAAGGCCAAACTTGCCAGTTGTTCCTTTTATCTTTTGATTCCCTACTTTAGCATTCCAATCCCCTATAATGAGAAGAACATCCTTCTTTGGTGTCATTTCTAGAAGGTGTTGTAAGTCTTCATAGAACTGGTCAATTTCAGTTTCTTCAGCACCAGTAGTTGGTGCATAAACTTGGATTACTGTGATGTTAAAAGGTCTGCCTTGGATTTCTATCGAGATCATTCTTTCATTTTTGAGATTGCATCCCAGTACAGCTTTTGCCGGGGGACGCGGGTGGCACTGTGGGTAAAAGCCTCAGCGCCTAGGGCTTGCCGATCGAAAGGTCGGCGGTTCGAATCCCCGTGACGGGGTGCGCTCCCGTTGTTCGGTCCCAGCGCCTGCCAACCTAGCAGTTCGAAAGCACCCCCGGGTGCAAGTAGATAAATAGGGACCGCTTACTAGCGGGAAGGTAAACGGCGTTTCCATGTGCTGCGCTGGCTCGCCAGATGCAGCTTTGTCACGCTGGCCACATGACCCGGAAGTGTCTCCGGACAGCGCTGGCCCCCGGCCTCTTAAGTGAGATGGGCGCACAACCCTAGAGTCTGTCAAGACTGGCCCGTACGGGCAGGGGTACCTTTACCTTTACCTATTACAGCTTTTGCCACTCTTTTGTTGACTATGACTATTTTCGCTTATCTCCTTCAAAATTTGTTCCAGTTTCCTTTCTTTCTCTCTTCTTTGGATTCTATTTTGTTGGATGAAAAAGCCTCGTATCACTGCTTTGCTTGCATCCCATACGGTATTTATATCGGTTCCCTGATTTAAGTTGTTATCAAAATATTCTCTTAAAGTCACCCTCACCTTTTCTAATACTTTATCATTATTTAAGACATTTTCATTAATTCTCCATTTTGTTGTTTTCCTTCCTTTTTTTATTTCCATTGTAGTTGGGTTGTGGTCAGATACTGTTTTTGACTGAATTACTGCTTTCTTTATTTTCAGTAATAAGTTTTTTGAAACCCAAATTGTATCAATTCTCCCTGCAGAATTTTTTTGCTTCTGAATAATGTGTAAATTGTTTGTCATTTGGGTGTTTAACTCCCCATGCATCTTTAAGGTTGAAATTTTCTACTAGTTGAAAGAAAGTTAGCAGTAGTCTCCCTTCTTTACTTTCTTTCTCTTGTGTTGTCCTGTCCATATTAAGTGAGGTAACACCATTTAAATCTCCTAATCAAATGATCTTTTCATCACTATAATCCAGCAGTTTATCCTCCAATTTTTGGTAAAATTCCGACTTCTTTTCGTTTGGTGCCTAGATTCTGACAATATTTTTTCCTTTTTGATACACCACTTTTATCGCCATCATTCTCCCTTCTTCATCCTTAAATAAGGGTTCCGGCTTTAATCTTGAGTTTGCGTATATAACTACACCTCTTTTCTTTATAACATCTGATGAAATAAATTCATCACCTTGTTTTAAATTCAATATTCAATATATTTTTAAAACGCTTTTTAAAAAGCATTTTCACAGCGTTTTTTTATATATGTCTAGATTCCACCTTGTTCTCACGACTGTTGAGAGTCGTTAGCTTAGATCCCTTTATACCAGTTTTATGGGGGAACTAGTTCATCAGCAGGCTCGAATGGTGAAATGGAATTTCCATGTTCAGAGGCAGTACCTCTCCAAGTACCAGGTGCTGTGGACAAACAGCAGGGGAAGGCTGCTCGTGAGTTGCTCTGGGCACCTGCCTGGCAATGTGAGAATAATGCAATTGCCAGCCTGGCAGACCAGTTTCCAGGTGCTCATGGGCTGCAATTCCCATCCCCTTAGCAGCACACCCATGTGATGCTGGGGCTGATGGGACTTCTAATATGAAACATCTGGAGGGCACCAGGTTGCCAAAGGATGAGTTAGATGGTTCTGTTGGTTTGATTCCAAGTACTAAATTATTTCTCCTAATTCTTGGGACTTTAAACATTAATGCAATGTGGCAAAAATTACTGCTTAAAGGCCACTGGCTGCCATGTGCAGCTGTTCTGACTCAGTTGGAGAGTGGCATTCAACATTTGTGTTAGTGCAAGGATTCCTTCTAGTGCAGCCCCCTCCTTACCAGCCTCTCGCTGTCCCATGTGTGCCCTAGAACAGATTTAGAGGTCCATAGGAGGGGAGAGGGGGGGACATTCCATTGCTGGTGGAACATTTCCCATAACACTATGCTGACTGTAAGCCTCCCTGGGCATCAAGGAGTGGCATGCAGGCAAGTGGACGGTAGCAGCTGAGCAGGGTGGAGCTCGCTCTTCCTCCTTCCTTTGTGCCAGGGGTGGAACCCGCTCAATCCCTCTGCCAGGCACAAGTAGTCTGTTCCTCTTTTTTCGGCAGGCAAGTCATTGTTCTGAGTTTATTTCCAATGTTGATTTGAGGCCTAATTCCAGGAAAGGCCTGACCATCATTGATGCAGATTTTCAGACACTTCAGATACTTATTTTTTGCAACTGCTGTGTTAAAAGGTTAAGCCTGAGATGCCCTTGCCCAGACCACTTAAAGATATTTTGATGACTGAACAGGGATTTGAACCAGGTCTGCCCACCAGGGATTGATGTGTAGTTCAAGGAAAGTTGCTAGTTAGGAATTGAGCATTGCAATATTGTTTGCTGCTCTGGCATCATCAGCAAGCTCTGCTTTGCACATGTTGCAGTTATTTTCATCTTTCTTAGGGCAGTGGGTTTATGACCTGGCCCACCTGGATCTCCTGCTGGGGCAGAATAGCTGAGTGAAGTGCTGCTGTCCATTTTAAGTATTGATGAAGGGTCTCAGGGCTGATTTTTATTTAAATCGACAGAAGGCTGCAAGGTGAGGGGAATAAGATTGTGCATCACAATGTCTGAATGGAAATGAGACTTCTCTCTGGCAGAGCTAGTTTGCAATGAGCCCGCTATTGTCATGATCCCAGTAAAGGAATCCCTTCTGGTCCTGCTCCAGTTCGTCTTCCTCCAGTGGAATGGGAGTTGACTCTCCCAATGTGCCTACTAGTGTGGTGGCATTTGGCAATGAGAGAGGCAAGGCATAGTGCTTCAGCACCCACAGCTCAGCTGGGAGCACATCCTTTCTGTTGATGGGTCTATTTGCAGGAAGCTTTGTCAACTCATGAGTCTCTACTGTACCTCAGAGCTAGAATGGCAAGAAAGTGGCTCACAGAAAAAGTCCCTAGGAGGGAAGGCTGTGTCACACGTGCTGGGATACAGTGATGCTCCCAGATTTCTGGGCAATGAGAGCAAGAGGCACGTGACTTGTAAAAACCTGCTATGTACATTGAATCAGTGCTTGACCACCACTCTCACACCCTGAGTATACAGGGTGGACAACATGCATTTTACAAAGCACTCTAAGTCTTCCAAATCCTACTTTTACTTTGTTTTGTCAAACATGATTCTAGCCTTTCTGGTTGCAGTGAAGTTTGAAAACGTAACGGCAAAAATATCAACAGCACACTGTCTTGGGTCCCTATATTGAATTTTCAGGGCATTCTGAAGTTTTAACTTTCTGTAGCAAGCTTGTATTAGAGTAGGTGCACAGAGTGTTTTCTGCTGCTAGCCAACAAACTGTGAGCTGTGTTAAAACTTGGTGCAACTTAAATGTTTGTAGCAGCTTCTCAAGTGCCTGTCGTGACATAACCCTTTAGTACAGTGTTTCCCAACGTTTTTTTTTACTGTGGCCCCTTTCTGACCTTGTTTAAGAATAAGAATTTATTTATACCCTGCCCATTTGGACTGTAGCACTACCTGTCCTGAAAGCTGCTATTTAGGAATTGAGCCCTGCACCCCTCGGCAACATCTGAAGGCCCCGATCTGCTAGGTGCTGGGGTGAATTGCACCCTGCGCCTTGCGGAGTCAGGCCCAGGCTGCCACCTGGCCCAGCATCGCCCTCTCCCACTGTAAACCAACCAGGACAGTTCCAAGAAAATGCACATGGCAAAAAGAAGCACTAGGCCACCCTCTGGTGGGCCGCCCCCTTACCTGCTTGTGATTGCCCAAGCTGATAGCCAACCAATCAGATTTAATAAATAAATACCCCCCCTTTTCTTCTCACTTCCCTCTATGGCCTCCTAGCCTTGTGCTGTGGCCCCCATATATATCCTGGGGGGGGGGCAGGAGGCCATATAGCCCCCATTAGGAAACACTGGTTTAGTCCATAGAAGTGAACCTGGTCAGATAAAGCATGCATTCCTGTGGTGCACAGGTTGAAACAAGTTTTCTTTGGGTCCTCCTTGGATGCACAGGAGCAGGAGTGAGTGCAAAGATTCTCAGGTACTCTGCTTAAAGAAATTCTGTGTTGTGGGGGCAGAAAGGGGGGGCTGGTTCTGCAAGCTGAATGAAATTACACAAATGAATCAAATGAATTTGCTTCACATTGGCCACAGAGAGCAGCCATACTCTACATACTCTATATGTAGAGTATAGGAGCATCCTCCCAACTCCAGTGACTGGAAGCAATGCTTTTATCAATGCCTCTGGTATTTTAAAGCTTTAATCTCTGTAGCCATAGGGGTTGAAATCTTCATGATGCCTAATTCTGTACCTGGCACCCAAATGCCACAGTGGTTTGATGCAAAGACACCTGGAAGACACCTGTCATACCTGAGTAGCAGAGCAGAGACTGTGCTTGCAGTAAGATCCAGGTTCCCTCCCTGGAATCTCCAGTTAAAAAGATCCAATGACAGCTGATGAGGAAGTGGCTGCCCATCTCGGCCACTGACAGTCGGAGCAGACCATGCTGGACTAGATGGGCACACTGGGTCTAAGGCCACCTCCTGTGCTCCTAATCTGAACCTGCCCCTTATCCTCTCCCTCCTGCCCCGGACCCCTTGTTGCTGCAGGAGTCTCCTTCAAGCCGGGAACAGATGCATTTGCCCAGGTTGCAAGGCCCAGAGGAGCCGGAACAGCAGCCAGTAGTGAAGTGGAAGAAAGAGCCAGAGATGAGTGGCTCAATTTTGGCCCAGGACTTGGCTAAGGACCGCCCCATCCTGCCGCATGTCAAAGAGGAGTCAGAAGTACCTCGACACCCCACCCCACCCTCCCAAGTCCTGGTGAAGGTGAGTGAGTGCGTTCTCTCTTGATCCTTCCTCTCCTGACAGTTGAAATGCCCAGTACTGAAGCATTTCTTACACGGAGCACCGGATCCTTTTTGTGGAAACAAAGTCTTGAAGTTCTAAAGACTTGACAAATAAGCTCGGTGAACATCCTTTGGGGAGGACGTTGCAGAGGACGAATGTCAGCATTCAGATAGTCTGGCTCTTTATTCACATGTCAGGATAGAGGGCTCCAAATCAAGGAAAGATCCCCCTGCTCCCACACCGCCACCCACTGCTTTGCCAAACAGCAGGAATTAAGCTTCCAAAAACCTAACTCCGGGAGGTGCCCAGACCTTGAGACATGCCTCATCCTGTTCCTCCTTGGCTGCAACCCTGCAGGCAAAAAGGGGGAATTCTTCTCCAGTAGGCTCAGTGACCCAGCAGCCTGGACACTGAATTTAGAACTGGAGGTGCCCCCCCCCCCCCGCTTAATAACTCAGACCAATCATTTTTAGCAGCAGAAATTATTTGCAGTAGTAAAGGAACAGCAAAAGAGCATCTTGGAGGTTTGGGGTGCTCTTCGGAGTTGATGTGGCTGTTGATGTAGAGGGCTGGAAGAAAGGTGAAGTCCCATCCCCGCATTGTTGGGATTTTGCCTCTTGTTTTTCAAATGTATGGTGGGGAGGTTGCAGAGAGGCTTCTTGTCCTGTGCAGTGCATGTGGCTCCTTCTGTTGCCCATTTATTCTGACCAACAAAGCTACTAATATAGCAAAACAGGGATTGAACCATAGGAACCATTGTAAGTGAGCGTGTGGAGTGAGAGCACATTCCACATCTGTACAGAATGAAGCACATAGCCTTTAATACACACTCTCTTTATGTGCCCTCATGTTTCTGCATAGCAATCCGACACCAGACTACCTGCTGTCAACCTCCTCATTGCCACCTCTCCCGTTGACAAACAGGAGCATGCAGAACTGGAGGGGGACTGTCGGCCATTGAATGATTCTCGGGTAAGCCCACATTTTCTTCCCGCCTGCTGACCTCGAATGTAGAATCATAGAATCATAGAGTTGGAATAGACCACAAGGGCCATCGAATCCAACCCCCTGCCAAGCAGGAAACACCATCAGAGCACTCCTGACATATGGTTGTCAAGCCTCTGCTTAAAGACCTCCAAAGAAGGAGACTCCACCACACTCCTTGGCAGCAAATTCCACTGTCGAACAGCTCTTACTGTCAGGAAGTTCTTCCTAATGTTTAGGTGGAATCTTCTTTCTTGTAGTTTGGATCCATTGCTCCGTGTCCGCTTCTCTGGAGCAGCAAAAACAACCTTTCTCCCTCCTCTATTTGACATCCTTTTATATATTTGAACATGGCTATCATATCACCCCTTAACCTCCTCTTCTCCAGGCTAAACATGCCCAGCTCCCTTTGCCGTTCCTCATAAGGCATCGTTTCCAGGCCTTTGACCATTTTGGTTGCCCTCCTCTGGACACGTTCCAGTTTGTCAGTGTCCTTCTTGAACTGTGGTGCCCAGAACTGGACACAGTACTCCAGGTGAGGTCTGACCAGAGCAGAATACAGTGGCACTATTACTTCCCTTGATCTAGATGCTATACTCCTATTGATGCAGACCAGAATTGCATTGGCTTTTTTAGCTGCCGCGTCACACTGTTGGCTCATGTCAAGTTTGTGGTCAACCAAGACTCCTAGATCCTTTTCACATGTACTGCTCTCAAGCCAGGTGTCCCCCATCTTGTATTTGTGCCTCTCATTTTTTTTGCCCAAGTGCAATACTTTACATTTCTCCCTGTTAAAGTTCATCTTGTTTGTTTTGGCCCAGTTCTCTAATCTGTCAAGGTCGTTTTGAAGTGTGATCCTGTCGTCTGGGGTGTTAGCCACCCCTCCCAGTTTGGTGTCATCTGCAAATTTGATCAGGATGCCCTTGAGTCCATCATCCAAGTCGTTGATAAAGATGTTGAATAAGACCGGGCCCAAGACAGAACCCTGTGGCACCCCACTAGTCACTCTTCTCCAGGATGAAGAGGAACCATTGATGAGCACCCTTTGGGTTCGGTCAGTCAGCCAGTTACAAATCCACTGAGTGGTAGCATAGTCAAGACCGCATTTTACCAGCTTCTTTACAAGAATATCATGGGGCACCTTGTTGAATGCCTTGCTGAAATCAAGGTAGGCTACATCCACTGTGTTCCCTTCATCTACCAGGCTTGTAATTCTGTCAAAAAACGAGATCAGGTTAGTCTGACATGACTTATTTTTCAGAAATCCATGCTGACTATTGGTGATCACAACATTCCTTTCTAGGTGCTCACAGACTGTTTGCTTAATGATCTGCTCCAGAATCTTCCCTGGTATTGATGTCAGACTGACTGGGCAATAATTATTTGGGTCCTCTCTTTTCCCCTTTTTGAAAATAGGGACAACATTTGCCCTCCTCCAGTCTGCCGGGACTTCGCCTGTTCTCCAGGAATTCTCAAAGATGACTGCCAGTGGTTCTGAGATCATATCTGCCAGTTCTTTTAATACTCTTGGGTGCAGTTTGTCTGTCCCTGGAGACTTGAATACATCTAAACTAGCCAAGTATTCTTGTACTATCTCCTTAGTTATTCTGGGCTGTGTTTCCTCTGCTGAATCATTTGCTCCAAATTCTTCAGGTCGGGCATTGTTTTCTTTATCAGAGAAGACTGAGGCAAAGAAGGCATTGAGGAGTTCAGCCCTTTCTGTGTCCCCTGTTTGCATTTCACCATCTTCTCCTCTGAGTAACCCCACTGTTTCTTTGTTCTTCCTTTTGCTACGAACATACCCATAAAAGCCTTTTTTGTTGCTTTTAACCTCTCTAGCAAGCCTGAGTTCATTTTGTGCTTTAGCTTTTCTGACTTTGTGTCTACATGTGCTGGCTATTTGTTTGAATTCCTCTTTGGTGGTTTCCCCCCTTTTCCATTTTTTGTAGACATCCTTTTTTAATCTTAACTCAGTTAAAAGTTCTTTAGATAGCCACCCTGGCTTCTTTAGGCAACTTCCATGTTTCCGTCTCATTGATATTGCCTGAAGTTGTGCTTTTACTATCTCCCTCTTAACAAACTCCCAGCCATCATGAACTCCCTTTCCTTTTAGTATTACTGTCCATGGAATCTCACCCAGCACTTCCCTAAGTTTTATGAAGTCGGCTTTCTTAAAGTCAAGAAATTGAGTCCTAGTATGCTTGGCTGCTCCTTTCCGCTGTATAGTAAACTTCAGAAGAGCATGATCACTCGCGCCTAATGATCCTTCCACTTCTACCCCACTAACCAGGTCATCAACATTGGTTAGGACCAGATCTAAAATGGCTGTTCCTCTTGTTGCTTCTCCCACTTTCTGGACAATGAAGTTGTCTGCAAGGCCAGTGAGGAATCTGTTTGACCTTATGCTCTTGGCTGAGTTTGACATCCAACAAATATCCGGGTAATTGAAGTCCCCCATTACTACTATCTCCCTTCCTTTTGCATGCTTGGCCATCTGTTCCAGGAAGGCATCATCTATGTCCTCTGTTTGGCGTGGGGATCTATAGTAAACTCCCACAATGAGGTCTCTGTTATTCTTCTCTCCCTTAATTTTGACCCAAATGCTCTCACTTTGGCTTTGAGGTTCTAAATCTTGGATCTCTTCACAGGTATACACATCCCTGACATATAACGCCACTCCTCCTCCTTTCTTGTCTGGTCTGTTTCTCTGAAATAGATTGTATCCCTCCATTATTACATTCCAATCGTGGGACTTATCCCACCAGGTTTCAGTGATGCCTATTATGTCATATTTAGTTTGCTGTACCAAGAGCTCAAGCTCATCTTGTTTATTTCCCATGCTTTGTGCATTAGTGTACAGACATTGAAGTCCATTAATCATTCCCCCGTGTCTCTTATTTAAGGATTTTTTCCTCCCACCACTAGGTCTGCATGCTGTTTGCTCCATTTGGTCTATGACATTTGGATGATCTCATCTTCATCAATTGATAGACTCCTACCTTCAGGAGCACTGTCTCCCTCCCCCACATTAGTCAGTTTAAAGCCCTCCTGATGAGGTTTCTGAGATTTTTGGCAAAAACATTCCTCCCAACCGTTGTGAGGTGCAGCCCATCGCTTGCCAGAAGTCCATCTTCAAGAAACTGCAGTCCGTGATCTAAGAATCCAAACCGTTCCTGTTTACACCATTTGCGAAGTCAGCTGTTCACTTCCACTATTTTTCCCTCTCTCCCTGGGGCACGTCGTTCAACTGGGAGGACAGATGAGATGACAATTTGTGCATTTAATTGCTTCAATTTCCTGCCCAGAGCAGATCTCTTTTGATCTTCTGGAGGCTATTGCTTGCAGTGTCATTGGTTCCCACATGAACCAAGAGGAAGGGGTATTTGTCAGTGGGTTTTATGATTCCTTGCAGTCGTTCAGTTACATCTTGGATCTTAGCCCCGGGGAGACAGCACACCTCCCGAGACATCTTGTCAGGCCCACAGATCACTGCTTCTGTTCCCCTCAGTAGGGAATCCCCTATCACCACTACACGCCTCCGCTTAGGTTTGGTCGGGGTTGTTCCGTGAGCTGTCCGTTCCAAGGTCGCCTGCATATACCCTGAGGACTGACTTTGCTGCTCGTCTTCATATACCTGATCGACTGTAATGAGGGAGAGATCCTCAAATGGAGTCTGTTCTTCGTCTTCCATGCTAGGGGAGAGGACTTCAAAGCGATTGTGTATTTCTAAACAATCAGAGCGAACCCTGGGCCTCCGACTTCTTTGAGTCACGTTTCTCCATATATCTGGCACCTGTGTTGGTGAACTAGCCTCCTTCTCAGGGGTGTCCCCTGTCTCCTCCTTGGTGGAGACGGTGTTCTCTGTTGCTTCCAAGAAGAGCTCCAGCTCTAATTCTTTGGAGCATAGCTACACGTTCCTCCAGTTGCTGGACTTTGTCTTCTAAGAGGGCAATCAACATACAATTGCTGCAGGTAAAGCTGCCTGCAACCTTTGGCAAGATGGCAAACATTGCGCAGGAAGCGCAAGCGACTGCAGCTGTTCCCTCACCCTCCATCTTGAAAACGTTTCGTTGGGGGTGGCTACAGTGGTCCTCCATCTTAAAAAGTGTGAAGACAGGACAAATAACCCCCCCAAAAAACCTAGGTCTCCCCCAACAAACGTTTGAGACTAGCTCCCCTAAATCTAAAAGATGGATCAAACTGTGCACGCCGCCAGGCACGTGCCGCTGCCCTGCAAGCTCTGATAAGCTCCTCCCACAGCTAATCACCTGACTCAACAGAAACCCTGCCCCCTCTGACCTTTGCACAGGGAGAGCAGCTAATCAGCCACAAAGAAACACACACACAAGAAAACTATTTTGCTCCTCCTTCAGCTGCTGCCCTGCAGAAATGTTCCTGCTTTTGGCTCATAAAACTTTAAAGCACCACTCTTTTTAGTGTTTTTAATACAGCTTGGAATCAGGGTGGTGACATTAATCAGAAGGTTTCCAAATGCTGTTGTTATGTTAAAAGAGATTCAGTATACCAAAAAAGAAATATGAAATCCTAACACCTGGGCTGTAGGGCTTGAGTGTTCAAAATCACCAGTGGTGTGTGCCTCCTTCCCAAATATTGCTGTTTTTATTCTTTATATATATATATTTATACCCCACCTTTTTTCCTGATGGAACTCAAGGTGGCTTGCAGATAAAAACAAGAATTGCTAAAAACATAGAAGCTAGTTTTGATCCTTGGGTTCCTACACTATCACAACCACTCCTTTGTTTTGGACATCTCCACAAAATGCTTGTTTAGTCCCTTCCTTCCATACTTCCAGTAAGGAAAAGCCCACAACTATTGTTACTCCTCCCCCATTTTTTAATGCATGAAGCTTAATCTAAATTTAATATGGTTAATTGCCAAGGCTGTTAGTCACATTGGCTGCAGTCATGACTTGGTAAGGACAATGTCACAAAGAACTGAGCACCACAGCAAGTTGACCACAAATTCATCCTGGCCTTGTGCTGCAGCAGATGTAAAAAGAGTTGCTACCAGCAACGAAAACGTTTCTAGCCTTGTATCTTAATATCACCACTGTCCATGGTCTCCCATCCTTCCCTGTATGTCAAGTGGTGCTGTTCGCTCTGTGGGAAGTTTCTGAATATTAAAAAGCTCCATGTCTTTTCCTTTCCTCCAGGTCTCAGCAGGACTTCCCCAGTGTAAGAGGGGGTGGGGAGCGCAGGGCAAGGACCTGGTGGTTCTGGATGATGAAGATGATGAAGAAGTGGAGCACTTGCAGCAATTGCGTCCACCAGTGGTGAGTGATTAAGTTGTTTGGGGCAACTGGTAAGATCCCTGGGCTCTTTGACTTAGGGAGAAGAGAAGGCTTACTTTGTAGAACTGGACTCTGTTCCACATGCTGGCAAGAACAATGCAGTGAGTGTGGCAGGCATGGAGGGAGAGATGCAATTTATACGGCACCCCCATTGCAAAAACCACATGGAGATATTTGTAGGTTCATGCCATTTGCAGAAGTGTGATATAGTTTGAGATTGATTGATTGATTTATCTATCTAAAATATTTCTCTACTGCCCTTGAATTCAGAATGTCTGGCGCCTTTTGTGATAGCTAATAAGAAAGGCAATTAGAAAAGCAATTAAGCAGTAAATGACCTCAAAAAAACCTGATCTCAAAATGACCGCAATAAGTGGTCAGAAGTCTTTGCCAGGCGCTTAAGAGATGCTGGTGTAGGGGCCAGGCAAGCCTCCCTGGAGGGCAGGGAGGGGGGGGTTGAATTCCATAAGCAAGACACCACTGCAGCAAAGGCCTCTTCCCCATGGGAGGAACTCTGAAGAATAATCTCAGTGTCTGAGCAGGCTTAATGGGAGAAGTCAAGGTCCAGGTCTCAGGGCATATAGAGCTTTAAAACAGGGATGGGGAACCTGTGGCTCTCAAAATTTCGGTGGAATACAACTCCCATCATCCCTCACATACAGCATGGCTGTAGCTGATGGGAGTTGTAGTTCAACAATCTGTAGAAGATCACAGATTCCCCACCCCTGCTGTAAAGATAAGCACCAGTACTTTAAATTGTGCTCAGAAATGGACCAGACTAAGTGAATCTCTTGAAGCCTTAGATAGATACGTTTCTAACGTCTTTTTCCTAGTAAATAGCTTAACAGCCGTGTTTAGAACTAACTGCAGTTTCCATGTGCCAGATAGTACTAAAATGTGTTCTAACATGGAAGTTTTCAGGGCAGGGCTAAAGCTTGGCTTTCTCTTTGGAGAAGAGATTTCAGCTGTCACACCACTCTTGGCCAGTGGAGGATGATCTGTGCCACTGAGAGCACTTGGGCTTCTAGTGACAACAGTGTGGCTGGATGAGCACCTGCAGATTGCAAGCCTTATCAGGGGGAGTGCAGTCCCTGCTAGATTTGGTGGAACATGACCTTCCTGGACAGAGATGCCACCCACTGACATTACTTCAGCTTTGTTGTGACCAGTCGATTATTGCAGAGGGGGGAATCATCTCTTGCAACGACGCATTTTTCACCTCCTGAACCCGGACAGAAAACTACCTTCTGCTCGGTGGAATAAGCCAAGGGCAAGGATTGAGAGGGCAAGTGTTAGGCCATAGTCCTTTGGGTCCCCTGTCCACATCATCAGGAGCATGGTCTCTAGATGGTGCTCTAGACACATCCGTAGGCTGAATTACTGAGATCCCTTAGCCAAGTCTTCTGCCTCTTCTGTAAACAGAAATGTATCACTTTCTATGAAATATTTTGCTCTGCACCCATAGCACTGTCACACAACTGGAAATGCATCTGGAATTCAGGGGACTAGGTAGTATCTGTTGTGAATGGGGGGAAATGGCAACTCATGTAGGGATTTTTGGGTGGCAGGAGTGCTGGGTTTGGGGGCAGTTGCATACTGCCCCCTTTTCCATCGGAGTCCCAAACTTTGAGCCGGTAAGTGAAACGAAGCACATTTTGCTACAGCCCTCACAAAACAGCTCAACTCATGGGGGCCGCGTTGCTCATATGTTGTGAAGGAGAGAGGGAGATGGTATGAAGCCATTCTTTTGTCTCTCCTTCCACAGATAATGGAGATTTATAGCCTGGGTGGTGCACAGCCCCTTGCCCAGTTGGACAGCGTCCTGCATGAGTTCTTGGCTGAGCTGAATGAGATCCCTCTCCCTGCTCACTGGGAGGTGCTGTCTCCGCTTTGCGGCCCTGACCTGCGTCTCGTCCAGCGTTCAGAACACTCCACCATGTCCTCAGCTGTCATCTACATCCGCCCAGGCCTCTTCTTCCATGTGGTGGTGCGAAACCTGCCCGTGCCCCCTGAGCATGAACTCTATGCCAGCCACCCTGCCCGCCTCACCACGGTGGACGAGGTGGTGGAACTCATCTGCGACCTGGAGGCCTATCGGCTCTGCTCTGGTTGGCCTGCAGGCTGGCACGCCGGTGAACGCTCCGAGGCCTGTGACGTTCTTGTCTATTCTGGTTGCTGCCCACAGTGCCGGCTCAACCCTTGGCCATCAGGGAGAGGCGCTCGCTGAGAACTGAGTTGGGAGGGGGGATTTGGGGAGAGGACTTGGCCCTGTGGGGCAGTGAATGGGAAGAGGTTTTATTTTGACACTGGAAATGGCTTGGAATATCTAAAGGGATCGTTCCTTGCCATAAATAGCTTTATATTTTTTCCTCTCCTGTTCAGTAGCTTGGCACAGAAAGTCCCATTCCTCTTGTTGTCTTCTGCCTCTCTCTACTGGTGAGCTGCTTCTGTGTTTCTGGCACAGAGAGACATTCCTCTCAGAGACTCGATTCCTGTCTTCAGTCGCTTGCTTGTCTCCTGCCAGAGAGTTGCAGTGGGAGCTCAGGGTCCATTGCTGTAGCCTGTGCTGCTCCCAGTTCTCTGTGCTGGTACAGCCTCCCAGGTTGATGTGGAGGCAGCTTATGTATCAGTGTGCACATTTCTGTCCATTGCTCCCACCTGCCTGCCCCGCTCAATTTAGCATTGTCCTGGCGACTCCTAGACCTGCAGTATGGTCATCTCCAAACACAGGAAGCGTGGGATTTAAGCAAAGCATCTCTTTTGCTATCTCCCCCTCTCTCTAAAAAAAAAAGTTCCTCTGGCTGGGACCTGCCCCTTCCTGCCCCAGATCCAGCTAAAACTTGGAATTGCCACTTCAGGCATGTCTTTCCTTTGCTTCAAGGTTGCTGAGTTCAGATGAGTTATTCTGTTTCTGAGGACCAGGAAGATTTTTGTTTTGGGCAGCGGGAAAGACTAAATGGATGTCGCTGGAGTGGAGGCTGAGAGATTCTGGGCTGTCCTGTTCAGGGAAAGTTCTACAGAAGCCATAGCTGCATGTCACTTGCTGACTCCTGGTTTTGTCTTGTGTCTTCCTTCAGTGTGGTGGTGGTGGCAGGAGCAAATGCCCCATAGCCTTTCCCTTGTTCCTCTCACCGTCAGTTTTTTTGTGTGTGCTGCTTTTCCCTCAGAAGAAAATAATGAAAGTATTCGGGTGGGGGGGGGAATAAATCAGAACTGGTCTCTATTTTTTTTAAATGTATTAAATTTTTTAATAAGCAAGCTCTGCTTTGGTTTCCATGTCTCCCTTCAGGTGAGAACAGGGGTGGTGAAGCTGTCGCCTGGATCCTGCTCACCAACCACTTCCAAATCGCCTGCCCGCCCCTGTCTCTGCAGGTCCCTTTTCAGACTCAGGTGCATCCCCATTGCTTAAGAGGTCTTGATACTCAGGAAACTGGAAGCAGCCCTCCTTTCTTGTTCCTGAGCACTAAGACCTTCTCATAGAAGCACTGCACTAGTGGGAGATGACATGCCTTGGAAAGGTAAAAAGGTGGGGCTTTATTCCCCATCACGGGGTGGGGGGTGGGGAGGATAGAAAGGAAGAGAGGTTTGGGAAAGTGAAGAGCAAACCGTAATGTGACACATCCCTACTGACAAATGCACACTTCATTTGCAGAATTCCAAACTCCTCTATTTTGGAATGCTTTGTTTTTAGGAGCAGGCTTCCAGTCACCATGGAAGGACTACAAGAATGTCTTCCATGTCCTGATCTCTTGTGTGCATATCATGTGGCCTTTGGAGGGCGTTCAACGGCATTGGAGGGGCCTCATGACTCCTTGCCACCTGGTGCTGCCTTCCTCCTCCCAAAGTTTTTTGGGGGCTGGCTGCCATTTTGCCATTGCTGGTGTCCAGAAAATAGTTGCCCACTGCTGAGACTTTTGGACAGGGATGGGAAAGCTGTAGCCATCCAAATGTTATGGGACTGCAGCTCCCTTCAGCCCTGTCTATTGGCCCTGAGTGCTGGAGCTGAGGCCAGTTGAAGTCCAACAGCAGCTGGAGGAGCACAGCTTCTTCATCCTTGCATAAGCACTTTTTCCACACTTGGCTTCCAGGCAAGCTTGAGTCTTACAACACAAAATTGATCATTTGTTGGCTTCAGGATATGCTGCCAATAGGAGAGTGTCTGCGTGTGTGTCTGTCTGTCTGTTTGTTTGTTTGTTTGTCTGTCTGTATGCCTCATGTTCTCTCCCCCCCCACTCACCTCCCCAGAGCTTGAATAGAAAATGGGCTCTTGCATAAAGAGACACCAGAACCAAGGCATCCCAAATAATGCTCTGAAAGTAATGAGCAGAGCACCCTGTCTCCTTTCCTGAAGGATGTTTGTCCCATTTCAGAACCAGTGGACCTACTGTCCACTGAGTATGTAGCAGAAGTAGGAAGGGCTGGCCAGAACTATGGATACCCTCGCTTAACAAATGAAAATAAAAAGTAGCCTAACTATAAAGCAGATGTGTACATCTGTGTTGTTCAGCTTCTGCTATTTACAGAAATGATTTCTTCCTTGAGTACTTTAACTCTTACAGCTGGGGAAAGATGTGTTAAGTGAGGTATGGAATACACATTCCCATTTCATCTGCTTTTAAAACCCCTTTTAGTCCAGCTGTACTTGCAACCATTGCCTTGTCTACTCATTAAAGAAGAGAACTAGTGAGAAGATCAAGACATACAGTGGTGCCCCGCAAGACGAACGCCTCGCAAGACGGAAAACCCGCTAGACGAAAGGGTTTTCCGTTTTGGAGGCGCTTCGCAAAACGAATTTCCCTATGGGCTTCCTTCGCAAGACGAAAGCCCATAGGGAAATCTCCGGGACAGCGGGGAAGCGCAGCGCGTCTTCCCCACTGTCCTCGGACCTCCTCCGAAGCCGGGCGGCGGGGCAGGAACACCTCCCGCCGCCGCCCAGCTTCGGAAGGATGCTCCGAAGCCGGGCAGCGGGGCGGGAACACCTTCTGAAGGCCGGCGGGGAGCAAAAGTCTTTGTTCCCCCCTGCCTGCCTGTCCCGGAGGGCTTTTGAAGGCAGGCAGGGGGGGGAGAGCAAAGACTTTCGCCCCCCCCGCCCGCCTTCAGAAGAGGTCCAGGACCTCTTCTGAAGGCGGGCGGGGGGCGAAAATCTTTGTTCCCCCCCGCCTGCCTTCAAAAGCCGTCTGGGACAGCGGAGAAACGCGCTGCCTTTCTCCGCTCTCCCGGGAAGGCAGGCAGGGGGGAGCAAAGACTTTCGCCCCCCGCCCGCCTTCAGAAGAGGTCCAGGCGGGGGCAAAAGTCTTTGTCCCCCCTGCCTCCCTTCCCAGGGGCTTTTAAATCGCCCCGGACAGCGGAGAAGTCCTCCGCTGTCCCGGGCGATTTTAAAATGCCGCCCGCCAGCATTTTAAGATCGCCCCGGACAGCGGAGAAGTCCTCCGCTGTCCCGGGGTTTTTTAAAATGCTGGGGGTGGGAAGAAAAGCCCTTGTCCCCCCCCTCCAGCCTTCAGAAGAGGTCGGGGGACAGACTGTCCCCGGACCTGGTCTGAAGGCGGTTTCCATAGGAACGCATTAATTGATTTTCAATGCATTCCTATGGGAAACCGTGCATCGCAAGACGAAAAACTCGCAAGACGAAGAGACTTGCGGAACGAATTAATTTCGTCTTGCGAGGCACCACTGTACGTGGCAAGTCTGCTTACACATCTGAATTCAGTGGCTTCCTCCAACTGCTGTCGACAGCATTTCAAACTTGTGTCCAGCAGTTGGAAGTCTAGAGCAGTAGAGTGGAAGGACCTTTCTTAGGGGATGGGCTACATTTCCTTGAGGGAATCTTTGGGGATCACATGAGGGGGGGGGTAAGGCCAGAACTGGCAATGTGCCCATTTGCTTTCTGCCACCCCTTTCCCCCTTCACCATTTCTGTTCCAAATCCACACCCACCACCTGATGCAGCAATTAGGCTTAGGAAAAAATACCCCATTTGCCAATTAGATTTTTTTAAAGAATCGCTATACAAGAGAGAGTTCTGCATCCAGCACTGATTTCAGTACTTACATTGTGTCCCATTTTATTTCTTCATTGTAAAGTGTATTTGCTTGAGGTCTCACATAAATTTTCGGCTTGGACAAAGGGTGAGTGTTAAATTATTTCTTCCCTCACTCTTGAACCCGCCACTCAGACAACCAAGGAAAATAGATGTGATCTATGCGTTGTTGTTTTTTTATTACATTTCTATACTCCTTTCTTCCGAGGAGCTCACAGGAGCATAGCCACTTCTCCCATCACCTCCATTTTATCTCACAATAACCCTGGGAGGGAGGGAAAGAAGTAGGTCAGGCTGAGATGCAGTGAGTGGCCCAAGGTCATGCGTAGAATGGCTGCGGTGGATGGAGTGGAGAGAATATTAAATGGGTGCAGCACAAGTGTAAGAGCAAAGGAAAAGATAAACCACATAACTCCCCAAAGCAAACTGCTTAGCAGAAGCAAAGAATAATTCTATAAGGTCAAGTCATAATTTATTTGAAGAGTCATAAGGTGAAGGCACTTAAACTGCTGGCCAGAATAGAGGAGGAAGGGGCAAAGTGTGGCCCTTAAATGTCAACAACACCAGCAAGTACCACTTGATTGCAATTGTTATCTTAATTCAGTTTTGCACTCATATTAAAATATTTTCAAAACAACCAGTTGCTTAGTCATACCTTATTTTCTTTAGTGCCACATCATGCTTAAAACCAAACTAAATATCCAGATCCTGCACCCGTTTCACCTCTGATTGTGAACTTCAGTCTTGCTGTGATGTGACTTGCTTCAGACACCCCTCCTTGAACCCCCTTTTTGTTTTAGGCAAAACATCTTGTACTCATAATCTTACACTTTGGTCTGCTTTCACAGATTTCTGGGAGCGCACACACAGGGAGCCCTGTGGAGAGTACTTGGGGGGGGGGGAGTTAAGTGGAGAAAGTAATCAAATGAAGCTGGGATGTAGATTATTCTTTCTGGAAGCAAATTACTTAAGGCCTAGATTCAACTAACCTGCATGCTAGCAGAACATCTTCCTTGCATTCAGTCCCCATCTTTTCCAAGTAGAGCCAGAATGTCCCCTATTTGAGACTCTGGAGACCTGCTGCCAGTCACTGTAGTTAATACCAAGCTTGGGCCAGTGCCTTAGTATAATGCAGCTTGCAATCTAATTGTTTCACTTTATTGTGCACTTGTCAGCCCTCATCTGGTTCACTGTGTCCGGTTTTGGGTGCCATGCATTAAAAACACATTGTGAAACTATACTAGAAAGTTAGCAGGGGGTGGCACCAAAGTGCAAATGACCGCAAGTTCTCCGTTCCTTTGGGGGCAGCTGTAAGTTTTCACAATGTTAACTTGGTTAACTACAGGTATATATTTCTGGCTAAAAATGCAGGAAGTAGAGGGCTCCTCTAAGTGTCAGACAAGGTGCATTGCTAATGGGGGATTTCCTCCCAATGCAAATGCCAGTTCCAGAGGGATTTTATCAGGAATGCTGCAAGGGAGGAAGGACTTCAATTCCCCATGCCCACTGCAGTCCAGCTGATGGAATTTCTATTCTAAAAAAAACCTTGGATGTTAAAAGACAACACCTAATTTAGCCCTGAAGGCACAGGTACTGGATAAATATCACCATGGCTATATTTATATCCAATAAAACTAAATAAGCAAACAAGAAGTTTTCAAGTTTATTTTTGATGCTGTGTGTTTAATATGAAGTCAGTGATAGTTACAAAATTATTTTTCAGAGATTGTTACCTTGCCTTATTTATAAACAGTTTTATAATGAACCACTTGCATGTATATTTATTTAAGGTGATTTAATAAGATTATGGAAAAAGCTAGAGAGTTCCAGAAAAGCATCTGCTTATGCTTCATTGACTACGCAAAAGCCTTTGACTGTGTCGACCACAGCAAACTATGGCAAGTTCTTAAAGAAATGGGAGTGCCTGATCACCTCATCTGTCTCCTGAGAAATCTCTATGTGGGACAAGAAGCTACAATTAGAACTGGATATGGAACAACTGATTGGTTCAAAATTGGGAAAGGAGTACGATAAGGCTGTATATTGTCTCCCTGCTTATTTAACTTATATGCAGAATTCATCATGTGAAAGGCTGGACTGGATGAATCCCAAGCCAGAATTAAGATTGCCAGAAGAAATATCAACAACCTCAGATATGCAGGTGACACAGCCTTGATGGCAGAAAGTGAGGAGGAATTAAAGAACCTCTTAATGAGGGTGAAAGAGGAGAGCGCAAAATATGGTCTGAAGCTCAACATCAAAAAAACTAAGATCATGGCCACTGGTCCCATCACCTCCTGGCAAATAGAAGGGGAAGAAATGGAGGCAGTGAGAGACTTTACTTTCTTGGGCTCCATGATCACTGCAGATGGTGACAGCAGTCACAAAGTTAAAAGACGCCTGCTTCTTGGGAGAAAAGCAATGACAAACCTAGACAGCATCTTAAAAAGCAGAGATATTGCCTTGCCGACAAATGTCCGTATAGTTAAAGCTATAGTTTTCCCAGTAGTGATGTATGGAAGTGAAAGCTGGACCATAAAGAACGCTGATCGCTGAAGAATTGATGCTTTTGAATTATGGTGCTGGAGGAGAGTCCCATGGACTGCAAGAAGTTCAAACCTATCCATTCTGAAGGAAATCAGCCCTGAGTGCTCACTGGAAGGACAGATTGTGAAGCTGAGGCTCCAATACTTTGGCCACCTCATGAGAAGAGAAGACTCCCTGGAAAAGACCCTGATGCTGGGAAAGATGGAGAGCACAAAGAGAAGGGGACGACAGAGGACAAGATGGTTGGACAGTGTTCTCGAAGCTACCAGCATGAGTTTGAGCAAACTGCAGGAGGCAGTGGAAGACAGGAGTGCTTGGTGTGCTCTGGTCCATGGGGTCACGAAGAGTCGGACACAACTAAATGACAATAAATTTCCTATTACATTGTGAACATCTCACACCCTTGAGTGTAATCTGGATTTGCCCCTCTGTGAAAAAGATGACTGTGAAAAATGAAGACTTCCCACTGGAGGAAGAGGGCCAGGTGGAAATCTTCACCAGTTCCCTCTGCAGCACTATTTTCCTTGCTGTTCCAGATCTCCTGAAGAGGCTTTTTGTGGGGCTGAAGGGAGAATCTAAATATTACTGGCCCACACAATGTAACTGAGTCCAACACAGTAAGTTTGCTGTCTGTAGACGTGCATATGAAATTAGATGGTAAATTTTATTGGGAACATTCTCTTGATGCAGAAAACATTAATTTACAAGCAAATAGTCTGAAAGATTAAAATTCAGTTGTTAGCATTTTTTTTAAAAAAGAAGTAGATGTGAGGGTGGATCCATATCTGGAAAACCGAGGCAGTATCATGACATGTATGTGGAAGTTTGGGGCTTTTAACTTAAAAGCACAGAGTCTTGCCACTATTTGTCGTCCTGGTTCAAAATGTGTGAGGGACGAACGTCAGCTGGGAGAGTAGAGATTGAGGATTCCTTGACTGGCACAGTCAGTTTGGGACGTCCATTGGCTGGGATGATGGAGTTTGGTGTTTCCTTCAATGAGGCAGTGAATTTTGGGAGACCATTTTCAGGGAGAGTGGAGCGTGCAGGCTCCTTGATTGAGATGGTAGGTTTTGGGGGAGCCTTGACTGGGATCATGGCTTTTGTGGGCTCCTTAACTGGGACAGTAGGTTTTGGGGGACCCTTTGCTTGGAGAGTGGTCTTCGGCCGATCTTCTTTCAATGAGGTGTTGGTAGGTTTTGGAGGAAGTTTTGTTGCTGGGACGAGTGTCATAGGGGTGATTTGATCCTTCTTCATTGGGGGGGTGGTAGGTTTTGGAGGAAGTTTTGTTGCTGGGACCAGTGTCATAGGGGTGATTTGATCCTTCTTCATTGGGGGGGTGGTAGGTTTTGGAGGAAGTTTTGTTGCTGGGACAAGTGTCATAGGGGTGATTTGATCCTTCTTCATTGGGGGGGTGGTAGGTTTTGGAGGAAGTTTTGTTGCTGGGACCAGTGTCATAGGGGTGATTTGATCCTTCTTCATTGGGGGGGTGGTAGGTTTTGGATGAAGTTTTGTTGCTGGGACCAGTGTCATAGGGGTGATTTGATCCTTCTTCATTGGGGGGGTGGTAGGTTTTGGATGAAGTTTTGTTGCTGGGACGAGTGTCATAGGGGTGATTTTTTCAAGATGACAGTGTGCAATATATTGTTTCATTTCTTGTCCCTTGCAATATTTTCCCCAAGCTCTCCTGTAATGAGAAATCCTTGGTCAAACAACTCAAAAGATGCATAATTAGGGAGACAAAAGTGCTGCTGCTGCTCCTGCATGAATGCCATAAAACAAGTGTTTATGCTATAGTTGGAATATTTTTGTCCATTGCTGTTTGTTATTTATCTGGTTGGGTAGGGTTGGTACCCAGGGCAAATCACACTCAATTGCCCACTTGCCTGCCTTTCTGTGGGGCTCTCCAGGGCACTCACCGTATGGGGCCACCTCCTGCTGCTGCCCCCACTCTCCATCCTGTCCTTCCTAATTAAAATAGTTTTGCTGCCATTCTGGGCTCATCCAGATTTCAGCTTGGCCTGCCACTTTCCCCTGGGAAAAGCTGCTGTTTCCTGCAGAATTGGAACAAATGCCAGTCAGGTTTTCTGTGGATTGATTTTTCTTCTAATACAGCAATAAACAGCAGGTTTTTCCAGGGAAAGTGGTGGGCAAACAAAAAGCCTTTTGTACTTTGGGGTAGAAAACATGTAACAAGTAGATGTACTCTGAGGAAGCCAGTTCCTTCCTAGGAATGCTGCATTCTGGGTGAGTGTCTATACTGTTTATGCTTTGCTGCAGCAGCTAGAAAATATTTTCAAGAATAAAACCAAACTTTTGACTTTTTTAAAACAAAAATGTCCAGCCCCCATGGCAAAGTGGCAGCAGCACAGCCACCTTGCCCAGAATGCAGCACTCTGAGGAAGAACAGGCTGCGTCAGCAGCAGCAAAATGTTTTTAAATCTAGGGCAAGAGGAGTAGGAGCAGCAGTCCCCCACCTTGGCAGCTCTGCATAAAGCTCCCCCCCCCCCAAGCATGGGACTTGGGACATTTGTCCTGATTTGCCACACTGTGGGAACAGCATTGGTGGCACTCATTTACAGAGTTGGATGACATCTCTGGCTCAGCTATCCTTTATGTTCTTAGCTAAGATCAGGCACAGATTCTCTTCCATTGTAGGTGATCTCCAATGCATTATTTCCTTGTGTTATGATTTCCACATTAATTTCAGTGGATTTATTCTGAGTAAATATGTTTACTCTGAGTAATATTCTGAGTAAAATATGTTTATTAGCCACTTTTTCTCCAAGGAGCTCATGGTTCTCCCCCTCCTTATTTAATCCCCACAAAATCCCAGGTCCGGCACTTTAGTCACTACACCACACTGGTTATTGACTCGGTGCAGACAACCTTGGTGTCTACAGTCAGCAGCAATGTCCCACCTTTTGCCAAAGTTCCCAGCTCAGAGGATAGGCATATACATCTTCCTTGTATGTGTCTGAGGACGTGGGGGAAAGAACAGGGTTGGTGACAACCATAAATAAGGACTGGCTCCTAAGCCTAGACAAGATCTCCAGGCACCTATGGAAAAAGATGGGTATCTATCTAGCAGAGTTTGAAGTCCCATAGGTCTATCCTGCAGCTGACCTAGATTAAGGCTATCTGTTTACCATGCTTTGAAGCCCTTCTTTCCTTGCACAACCCTCTTTGCACAGTCAATGTCATCTGTAATGTTGTCATCCTGGAGAGCTGAAGGAAAGATGAGAGTCGGGGGAGGGAGAATGAGCTGAAAAGTAATTATCATTAAATGCATGGTGTGAGTTAACTAATGAGAGAATCTGAAGAAGTGTGCATGCACACGAAAGCTCATACCAAGAACTAACTTAGTTGGTCTTTAAGGTGCTACTGGAAGGAATTTTTTTTTTGTTTTTAATGAGAGAAGGACCCTCATGTTTAGGTTGCAGCAAGCAGAAGGGACTATCGTAGAAAAGTTGTGATAGACTGTTGAATAACAATTGGTCAGAAAGTTGATCTAACGCCCAAATAGCAGGGTATAAATGATAAAATTATTATTTAAAAAATATTATTCTAAGTGTTTTCAGTGGGGAGATGAGCTTTCCTTCTCCCAATTTATGTCATCCTGAGTTCAAAGTGCATTTGATCAAGGGGAGCCAATGTGGTGCCCTCCAAATGTTTTGAGCCACAAATCACTCCCATCACCCCTGATCTTTGGCTATATTGAGGAGTTGAGAGGAGTACGAAGATAGTACTTTTTGTCCAATTACTTTCTGCTGATTGGGGAACAAAAGTTCAGCCCGTGTGAATCTTGATATCCCCTGCTCCAGTCTTTGCCAACCCATTGTCCTCAAGATGTTTTGGAAGACATCTCCCATCTAGCCAGGCTGATAGAGCTGTCACCCAAAACTTCCGGAGGACTACAGGTTAGCAAAAGCTCTCCCACTTTATCCTTATTACACACTGATTACTTACAGGGCTAGGAAGCCAAGAACTTACTCAATCTTTTCAGAGGCATGGACATTGTATGTGAGCTGCTATGCATGGGCAAGGTTGGCGGGGTGCTCCAGGATTTCCTGCACCATTGCAAAGGATCTCTGGAGCTCTTCTTCCTTGGCATTGGGCCCATCAACAAGTGAGAGTCAATATGGGAACTTCACTAGTGGGCCCCTTGACAAGTCTGGGGCAGCTCTGCTCCCTCACCAATCTCCAGCACTGGCCATATTTCCATCCAGAAGCCACAAGCCCACAAAAAGTGGATTGAGGTTGTAAGGATATAACTTCTTACCACCACAACTCAAGTTACAATGGTTGCGTGTGTCCAGGGTCTTGGCATCTCTGCACCACCACCTTCCACTGAGTAAGAAGATCCCATAATTGCTAGCCGTTGGCCCCACGTTAAGGGCTGATGTGTTGAAGCCACTTGTGTGAGACACCAAACAAATCCCTAGAGGCAGGAGCAAACAGATTAAAGTTCACCTGAGGCAGGTAAAACATCTCAACTTTGGATTCCTCATTGTACAGAACTGGAGTGGGTCCCAGACGTAGCATTTCAGATAGGCTCTTACAGATTGATGAGTTATTTAAAAGGCTGCTGTTTTGAAAATCAATTGACAAATATTACAAATGTATAGGGTTAAGGAAGGGTAATGGAAGGGATGAGGGGATTAGGCAGCTGCCCCCGGATAATAATTTTGGGTAGCCTAAAGGGAAGTAAACACTGTATAGAAATAGATGAAATTCTTACTCATGATATGAAACTGGCATATAGTTCTTGAGTTGGGTGACAAGAGTTCAAATCATCACTCATCCACAATCATCACTGGGTGACTTTAGGCTAGCCACAGTCTCTCAGCTTAACCTACCTCACAGGGTGGTTGTGAGGATATCATGGAGAGGGGAGAACCATGTCAAATGTAGTTAAAATCTGCATGAAACAAAGAAAGTGGATAGAGAAAGGTCCCGTCTCCCCCCAACACTAGAAGTCGTGGTCATCCAGTGAAGCTGAATGTTGGAAGATTCAGGACAGATTTTTTTAAAAAAAGTACTTCACACAGCACATAGCTATAATTTTGAACTCGCTCCCCCAGGAAGCATGATGGCCACCAGCTGACATGGCTTTAAAAGAGGAATAGACGGATGTGTGAAGGCGGAAAGAGATCCCAAGGGCGGCTAGGCCTTGTGGCTTCACGTCACAGTCCTAGGCAGCGATGCTTCTGAATGCTGGAAACCACAGGAGGGGAGAGTGTTGTTTTTGTGCTTGGGTCCTGCTTTCAGGTTTCCCACAGGCATCAGGTTGGCCACTGTGAGAAGAGGATGCAATATTGGACTGCAGAGGCTACTGATCAGGGATGGGTGAATCTACTGATTTATCATTTTTTCCAATCTACAGTTCAGTTTACCACATTTCTACGTCTTCATTAACTTAAATAAACCCTGAAGAATCACCAGCATTTTAGAGCACATTTCTCCTAATAAGCACATTTTATAAGCAACCTTGGCTAATTTATTTTCATGTATATACACATTTTTAGGCTCACTTTCCCCAACATAAGCTATTTTGTACTCATTTGTCAGTTGTAGAACTGCAATGCAAAATTTGGAGAAATACGAATTTCTCAGGCTGGCTGCTATTTGGTTCACATGTTTGGGGAAAGTGCAAGTGAAGTATGAGTTCTCATTATAATGTGAACCCAACCAAATTTCTGCCCCCTCCCCACCCACAAATCTACATTCCTGCGTGCACCCATGCACACACAGAACAATACAAGGGACACTCACACTCTTCTATTCTGGTGCCCGCAAAGCCTTCCATGCCCTCGTCCCTCAGGATGGCTGCCAGTTTGCATCTCTCCATGATGATGGCATCATTCTTGGCCGCTATGATGCCAAGGAAGAGAAGAGCCAAGCTGGGTGTCACCATCTTGACAGTGGCAGCTATGCAAGTACAACACAGTCCTTTATACCCTGCAAGGCAGAGGAGGAGCTGCCCAATAGACTCTTGATGGAATAGGCTAAATGCTAGTGTCACCTCAACCCCTGGAAATGGCAAGTTCCAATCACTGAGTCCTAGAACACACATCCACTCTGTCAAAATTCACACAGTCCAATGCATCAGTGCTTCTCTGCTAAACAACCCCAAGTGATTGTCATGTAAGGCAATCCCAACACTGGCCAACCCATTGAGCATTAGTCCTACTGGACCTTATACCTTGTAGAGGGAGATTGTAGCAAGTGTTAATTGTCATGTCACTCACACTGCTGCTGGGGCTTGAAAACCCAACACTTGCCAAACATCTCTGCCTTGTGCAACTGTTAAAGAGATAAAAGGCCTAAAGTAGAATAAGCTGCTAAAGTCTATATTAGGACAGCAAACTAAAATGCATGGCCAAGTATGAATCCCCCCAAGTTTCTTGCATAGCTTCAGCATCTGTTTATGACACAGGTCCTAGCCTCTTTAACAGGTATGCTGTATGTTGGCAGGTGGAGCTTGTCCCGCAAGAAAAGGCAAGGTTGCAGAGACCCTCCCTTCTGTGCAAAGATAAAGGGCACCATATGCCCTGACTGTTCTGCACAGAATAATCTCGCTCCCAAGAGTGTGCCAGCATATAGGGTGGGGATCTCCACTCAAGCCATGTCCTAATTGGCTGGAGCTGCTGCTCAAGTTCCTTTGAGGTGCCATTACCCCGGGGTTGATTTGATCCCACAAGCTACATTGACTACAGACTGATGCATGTTATAATAAAACAGCATAGACAATATAATATTGCCAAACCAAAATGACATTAAAATCAAACAGAAAAACATCAAAATACAGCAAACTGACAAAAAATCATCACATCAGTGAGGGCAGGGCACTCAACTCCCATCTCCAGTTAGCCAAAAGCTTTGGTCAAGGCATATGTTTTTAGCCATCAAAGTCAGCAGCATCTGGATCTGCATTGGGAAGTCCATGAGGAGAGCATTTCATAGTTAGCATCCCCAAATCCAGAAGGCTTTCTTATGAGTTGATGCATAGTGAGGGATGAGAGAAAAAACCAATTCCATTCACATTTAAAGGTGAACCTACCAAAGTTTTACTTTCTAAAATAATACACACACTGAAACACAGCCACCCTTCAAAATTTACACTAGAGTAAAGTGTTTACAAAATGCATATATTCATGCACAAAATATATAAAATACGTTATATTGGGGATATTGCTTTGCAAAAATGTGTACATTAGGCAAAATTGCATACAAGTATATATAAAGAGAACTTTGCATTAAAATGCTGAGGTATTTCCACATGGACTTTAACAAACAAACCTATACAGAAACATGGAGAACTGATTGGGGAAAAAACAGAAATAGGGAGAAAGCAAAACTGACAGATTCATCCATACCTATGTGTAACACATTTGCCATTTTTATTTTGCTCAGTAAAGATATGTATTTCCTTGGAGGGAGTCAAAGCAGTTGAGAGAGCTGATTTTCAGGGGAGGAAAAGGGTAAGAAACCACACTTCCCCTTGTCCTGGGTTTCCAGCTCAGGTTTCATTCCCAGCTGCTGAGGAAATGAAATCAAAGGAAAACCCCCTCAAAGATCACTGTGTTACATAGAATGAGGATTTCTGTCCATATTGACACATCCTGGCTGGCAGTTGGCTCAGGGAGATGATCTGGAGTGTCATGCAACAGCAGCAAATGGTGGCACTTTATAAACTGGGGTGGTTGTTGTTGTTTAGTTGTAGGGGAGATGAATTTGGAATTTTCAGTCTTGGGTGCATGTACTGGGTGCATGCCTGAGAAAGTGCAATGTTTTATGCCAGTCTCTTTCACGGGTACAAAGTGCAGCAGTTTTCCCCCTGACAGATTGTGATGTAATGTGTACAACTTCTTACCTCTCTTGTACAATACTTGTTTTTGGTAAAATACTAAACCCAGGAGCCATCAGGGTTTTGTCACAGGTGTAACAATCCTCATCTTTTAACTACAGTTAATAGATGGAGAGTGGGCAATGGGAGGATCAGAGGACAGAGCTTCTAGAGAGGCTTGAGCCTGAGGATGGGGAACCTGCAAACCATGGAGACCTTTAAGGCAGGGATGGGAAACCTGTGGACCTCTGGATATTGGTGGACTGCAACCTGAATGCAGAATCACTGGAGCTGATGGGAGTCAGAGTCCAACCACATCTGGAGGGCACTACAGGTTCCTCATCCCTGCTTTGTCTGCTGAATTTCTCTTTGAGACATTAACTATGGATTGATAATTCCCCGATTGAAGGATGGAAAGAAATTCTCTTGGGAGGGAAGAAGGGAGAGAGCTTAAGGGCAGAATGGTTCTACAGAAAGGAGAAGCGGTGGGGAGAGAAGGCCTGGCATGTAGTGCTTGTATGTCTGAACAGAGGGACCTTAAGCCTTGGGGGTAGCAGCTTTGGGCACTCTTGGGTTAAGAGGAAGAATCCCGGAACAAGGATTGTTCAGCCAAGGTTTTGTTGTTGCCTCATGGAGGCAGCCAACTCTGCTGGGGAGAGAACCAGCCCAATGGGCACAAACAATGGTTCTGATGACCCAAGACTCTGGAATAGTTCTGCATGTCTTCAAATGACAACAAACAGGGCAGGGCTAGGCAAGCACCGAGGTAGGGGCTGTATGCAGTTGCACCCATGCATCTTTCTTTCCTCTTCCTCTCCTAGATGGAATCCACTAAACTAAACTCCCTAGCTTTATGGGACACCCGATGATGTGCCATGTTAGCCTTGCCAACTGCAGAGAATTCCAGAATATGTTCTGCTCCCTCTTTCTCCCCTTGTTCTCCCCCTTTCTTTAGCTTCTGCCACTCATTGTTTCGGCAAAGCCCTCCTTTTTCTCTCATTGCCTAGTTAGAATCGCTTCCACCAGCTGCTCTGGCTTCTGGCCAGCATCCTTCATTGCTTAATGCTCTACCTCCAGTCTAGACCCTTCTCTTCCTCACCATATTATTGGTTCTTTCTTTTGCCTTGTCCTTGGACTCATACTTTGCTGAGGTTCCTTTAGGTCAACCCTTCAACTAAGGAAGGCAACAAATGAAACTTTGTGATGCCAGTGATCGACTGTCCCTCCCTTCATATCCTTCCAGTGTTTGGCTACTGTGAATGGAGCTGACATCCAGACCCCACTTTGCAGCCCGCCCCCTGGTAAATAAATGTAACAATACTAAAAGTGTGGATGCTTAATAAAACTAACTGTGTGGATGCGTATTTCCATGTTTTTCTTGATAACTGGAATCATTTGTGCATACCACACAATGTTTGTTATGTCATGTTCTTTTTCCAGCTCAGTTTTCACTGTCAGGGATAAGAGATTTTATGGGGTGTTTATATGCTATATGGTTCGGAATCAGACTCTAAAATAGTGTACACAAGATCACCTCCAGGTCAAATAATTCTGGATCCACACGTCCTTCCACAGTGGGGACATAGTTTTCTGGGCAGGAGTTGATCATGGTGAGAGTTTGCCAAACGTACCTTTCTCTTAGAACATTTCTCCCTTTCGTCCTGAGTTCCAGTGTCTTCAAAGCCCATAACACCTTTGGTAAAGGCTAGATCACTCGCAGACCAGTGTTTCCCAATTGTTGGTGTTTATGCTGCATTTTTTAAGATTTGCCTTGAGAGGGTCTTTCATAGAATCATAGAGTTGGAATAGACCACAAGGGCCATCGAGTCCAACCCCCTGCCAAGCAGGAAACACCATCAGAGCACTCCTGACATATGGTTGTCAAGCCTCTGCTTAAAGACCTCCAAAGAAGGAGACTCCACCACACTCCTTGGCAGCAAATTCCACTGTCAAACAGCTCTTACTGTCAGGAAGTTCTTCCTAATGTTTAGGTGGAATCTTCTTTCTTGTAGCTTGGATCCATTGCTCCGTGTCCGCTTCTCTGGAGCAGCAGAAAACAACCTTTCTCCCTCCTCTATATTGATTGATTGATTGATTGATTGATTGATCTTTATTACGGCCATTGGCCCGTTACACGACAGTTTCCCATACCAACATATTATACTTAAACCTCCAAATTTAAAATCGCCAAAACTTACAAAAGACAAACAATAATCGAAGCAAAACAAGAACAAAAACCACCATCATACCAAAACAGAAACCACCATCATACATTACAATAAATTTGTAACCTATACATCGCCCTCTGCTCATAAATTAATCAGGGATATCAATGGTGATATCACCTAAAACATAGATCATGGTTTAAAACAATGGTGATATCACCTAAAACATAGGTCATGGTTTAAAGGGGTTATCCGAATCACACAGGAGACCGTTTCTCTTCTTTAGGGATAGGACGCTGATCAGGAATCTGGCAACCATGAGTGATTTTAGGGGGTCATCATCAGTTAGTAGATATCTCAGTTTGGCTTCAATCGTATCATCGGCAATTCCCTTAAGATATTGAGCAAGAAACTTGCTCCTGGCCAGTAAGTGAAAAGCACAGTCAAAGATTATGTGATGCAACGATTCCGGTGCCCCACTATTACAATCACATAAGAGTGATATCTGTCCATTGGAGAATCTATTTCTCAGCACGTTCGATGGGAAGGTGTTGAATCTTGCCTTTACAAAGGCATATCTATGAGCTGAGGAAGTTAGGGAATTCAAATAGTTTGGGAGCCTTAAGAGGGGTAATAAACCAAGATTTAGAGGTGAGCAGGTACCATTGCCCAAGATCATTTTCTGCTGCAAGTCCATCTCCTCTAGCTTACAGGTTACTGTTCTTTTAGCTGGGACTATGTCCTGCTCTAGTAATTTGGATGGGGAGATTCCCATTGCCGTTATTTTCAGCTGTAAATTTTTTACCCATGGGCTCTGGAAATCATCTCTCCACATACATTGTATCAAGTACAAGTTTTCCCTCCTCTATATGACATCCTTTTATATATTTGAACATGGCTATCATATCACCCCTTAACCTACTCTTCTCCAGGCTAAACATGCCCAGCTCCCTTAGTCGTTCCTCATAAGGCATCGTTTCCAGGCCTTTGACCATTTTGGTTGCCCTCCTCTGGACACATTCCAGTTTGTCAGTGTCCTTCTTGAACTGTGGTGCCCAGAACTGGACACAGTCTTTAAACCTCTTTTTTTGACCACCAGCATTAAGCTTTCCATTTTAAAATTCGGAATAGAGTAGTTCTTTTGGAAGATGATAATCAGGCATCCGCACAACATGACCAGTCCAACCAAGTTGATGTTGAAGAATCATTGCTTCAACACTGGAAGAAATCTTTGTTTCTTCC